TGGCCACCCCAACAAAAAATCTGATGGCTTTGCCACTGCTCTGATTGTGACACAGCAGCATAATTATAGAAATGTTTTCGTAAACATGATTGTGCGATGTTTTCAGAGAAAACAAAGCAAAAAGTTTAATTTAAAGTTTCTGTTTGGTGATCTCTCCTGTCAAGACTACGCAGCACTAATGTGAGTGGTACCTCGTTAAAAATAGCATCAAAACTTTAAATTTACATTGACGGGCCAGGTTTGACGCCAAAGGTCAAATTTTATTGGTGGAAATTTAACTTGAAAATAATGAAGCAAACAAAAATAAAACTTAGTTTTTATTGCTTTTACTCACAGCACAACAGAAATAAGATGGCATGTTCAGTAACAAATGTTCAAATATCCACTGCAGAGCAGCACAGGGTAACAAATTAAAAATGCAACAGGAAAAATGTGCTCGCCAGCTGATGGGTTTCTCAGTCTCAGATATCTTTTAAAAGTTCCTGTCCTGGGGTCTCCTTCCAAGTAGGAGGCCAGGTGGCTTTGACGCTTGGTCTGCCCTGCAGCTTTTTGTAGTATTCTGCCAGTTTGGGGTATTTATCCTCGCTTAGCCTGCAAGAAAGACGAAAGTTGGTGTGAGTTTGTTGCTGTTTGTTATTCAATCCAGGCAGCTACAAGTCAGTTTTGCAAATTTAGCTTACTTACCCCATGCGTAAGAGAAGAGCAACACTTGGAAAAACAATCACATCAGCCATGGAGAAGTTCTCCCCTGCCAGGAAACCGCCTGGTGTCTTAAAAAAGAAGACAAAGAAAAAAAGATTTTGGATGGAAGCTAAAAAAATCTTTTAAATAGTTGGTGAAACTTGGCTTACTAATTCTTCTACATATATTGTCTCCTTAACAGCAGCTGCTGAGCATATCTCAACAAAAGACTTCAGACAATCAGCTCGTCATCATCCAAGTACTGTGCATCGGCCAACTGTCAACATTCGGTACTTGTTTTTTTGACTTGCCTCTATTTCCTCTTGAGGCAGTCTGGCCACTATTGTAAATAGGAAGGTTTTGCCAATGACTTGCTTAGTTAAATAAACATTACACTGACTTCCTGCACAATCTTGTACTGTGAGTTGGTGTTTTCAGGAACGTAAACATCAAATGTTCAACATCAATTGATATCTCTGTGAACAGATGTTTTGGACATTTTTTTCCCCTTTAAATCATTATAATGAGTCAAAATACCGAGGGGATAAAAAGAAAAGAAAATAGACAAAGTGCTTTTACACGGTAGCACCCATTACATCCAACAGCTTATAACTTCCTGCTAGGGTTATTGCCTGTTTCTGCAGCTTTGTAGCTGTCGTGCTCTGGGTGCTTGTGAGTGCATGCGCATCATACCTTCTTCAGGTGTCCCTCCCACATCTGCAGCTCAGTAGTCAGCGTCTCCTTGAGTCTCTTAAAGGCAGATTCGTGCCTCTCATTCTCCGGGACCCTCCGGTTGTACATAAAAACATCCGCTGCAAAATATCAGAACAGACAATTACTGTCTAACATCAGGCTGAAGACTATAAAAAGGTACCCAAATAACATCTATAGCAGCTTATTTAAAAATGAGTGATCATGTTAAGCAAATGTTCATTTTGGTTACATGGGATTTTCTGGTGTCATTTCTACACTGTCTCAGGAATTTACTTGCAAGGCTAATTTGAGCAGAGATTAACATCCCAGCATGTTGTGAGGGTTACTCCCCAGAGAAATAATGCATTATGTAACACTCTTAAGTGAAGGCACAGCTCTTTTGTGTGTTGCATGTGTTTTGAACACCTCGGACCACGTCGGTGAAAGTTGATGTCAAAGCCTCTGAGGAGGTTTGCTGAAGACATGAAGTCTCAGCGGGTTAAAGGTTGCAGGTTTGTGCGTGATGTTGCCAAGCATTGTTTAAAATCCCAAAAGGCAAATCTCTGAATGGCAACAACAACAGCTAAGTTATACAGAAAGAACTTTATAAGATTTTCTTTATAAGCTCTGTAAATCCCCTGGTTTCAGTGTCCACATCAGCATACAGGGATATCGAGCTCAACAGGTATGTTCAGAAGGCCATGACAGAGTTAACGTACCCATTTTCTGGTGAAGTGTGTTGCCCTCAAACACACGCTGCATTATTAAAGCTATCAAAGCGCAATTGTTGTCGGAGCCGGCGCAGTCAGGAATCAGCTTGGTTCCCTGGGACTTGAACTTGGACTGAAAACAACACATGAAAGCACACGGAAACACATGAAACGAGCAACTGTTCTGAGGTGCAGTGCACCCTGCGGTGTAGGGTGTCTGCTTATACAAAGCATTGCAGAGCATGCAATCACCAGTCGCCCTCCAACTTAACAACTCCTCAGTGACATGAAATTTTAAGTAAGGTTCTCACCTCCAGGAAGAAGCATGCACCGTACGACTCATTGATCACTATGTCCCCAAATTTGAAGGCAGGAAGCTTTAAGATAAAGTAGAATGAATGTTATTAATATATACTTCAAAATTAGGCATTATTATTTGTAATTGCACAGTGAATATAAAGTACTTCAGGAGGTGGGGGTTTGAGTGCAGTTTAAAGGTATGAATGTGATGCAAGCCTACCTGTCCCCTGGGGTTTACATCCATGACTTCCTTCGACTTGTGCTCTCCTTTCTCGAAGGAGAGCAGTTTTTGGTTGTATCCCTGCAGGTTCTTCTCCTCCAGAGCAATCAGCACCCTCCAGCAGGGGGGAGAGCCGGAGCCCCACCACAGAGTCATGTCCTTGGCCATGGTTTCAGAGGTTAACCTGGGAGCTGAAGTTAAAGGGAGGTTAAAGATGAGAAGACTGAAGCTAGAGCAGGTAAAGAGCCTCATTATATAGCAAAACTCCAGCCCTCAACATCCGGATTGGTGGCTTTAAGTCCCGTCCCATTTTGATGCTCTGACAAGAGATTTCTCACAGATAGCGGGGTGTGAATTATTTTTTGAGCGAGATCACGCACCTGCATTTTACCTGACATGCTGCTGTCGGAACATTTTTGTAGCAGCACAGTTTGAAACATTTTGTTTGATAAAGATTGTTGTATTCACAGCTATTGCAAAACCGCACCAATATTCTGAATTTCAGTGAATAATAATGTTTATAACGTTAAAATCAGGTGTAGAAACTAAAGTGAAAGTGAAAGTCTCTGTGGGGTTTATCAGAACCCAACTTTATTCCTGTGGGCTTTATTATTACGGTTGCATGTCAACAATCACAGCTATAGTTGACATCCATCTGTTATACGTATGTTAAAAACTGTTATCATCCTTGTTCGTGCTTTATAGATTCTTGCAGTGTTGTTGCTGATATTTTGAAACTCACAGTGACTCAGCAGTCGTGTATTTACAACTTCACACGCAGGCACTTACGCAACACTGGCACAGTTTTCACGTCTCTCTGTCTGATACCCCTGATTTTAATGCATTCTTTCATTTGACATCCACATTTCTAGCTTCACCAAATCCCTGCTTCTGTTTTTATTTTCTTCTTTTGTGCTTCTTTCTCATGTTAGTGTGCACTTGGCAGCATGGACTTCTGCATGAACAGCGGTGAAGAGAACTGCATGTTTGCTGCGATCGCTGTCTCTGTTATCTTGGGCTGTTTTTCAAAGAAGAGCTCGCTGTGGGATAAACTTCTGCAAGATTTCCCCATACATGTCAGAATAAGAAGCACGTTTTTCTTCTTGCCTTTGACTGATACATACATACACATATATTGTGTTTGTGCATTACTTTCAGTGTTTTCATTTTGCTTAGTTGGCATGATGTAAGCATTTTTTGCTGACTACAGCAACAGTTTGTTTCTGATGTTTTTATCAGGTCCACTGATAACCTGGCAACCTGGTTGCATGCCACACGCATTACTTGTCCATTAGTGGAATTTTATATCCGTTCTTTTGTTTTCTTTGTCACACAAGGCTCCCATTGAAAATAGAGGAACTCCTTAGTGTACCACCTTATATGAATAAAGGTTAACTGAGAGGCTAAAGAGAGGGCAAAGTCACTAGGTGGAAGTATTTTCTGATCGACTGTACATCTGAACATTTCAAATTCATGTGTATGCGCTCTCCTACTCGGCAGAGGCTTTCGGGCAGGTTTGTGCAGCTCCATGATAGTTACTTTAACCTTTCCAAGCAAGTACAAAACCAGGTGAAGCTCCAAGAACTGAGTACCTGACTCAACTCAATTCAACAGGTACAGCAGAGGCACGTACTATGAAACATGTTTAGCATAGTAGTGATATCTTGGGCCTTATCTGGCTTCATTTAACCATAACAACTGCATTCAGGATAAGCGGTCACACGCAGTGTTTACCAGCTTGGTAATCCAGCCCAGGCTTTTTCCAGCACGTTCACATGAAAGGGGCAGAGCTGGCAGCATATAACCAGTCACAAACTGCTTCCTACAGGAAGACGGGAGGGTTTTTTTGTTTTGTTTTTTACAAAGAAAATCAAAAAATATTAAGAGATTAAATGAACAATAAAGGCTATAAGCAACACAGCTGCTGCTGCTGCTGCTGCTGGGTGTGATAGGAGAAGCACTAGTGTAGCATTGTACAGTATAGTATTAAAACATGCTGCATGAATGTGTGGAGACTTGAAAATGCCGTGGTTACGACTGGAAGGCTATCGTATACAGACTTTATTCTGCGTGACACCAGGCGAAAAACAAAACTGCTGATGTCAGAATGAGTGAAATGATGTTGGTGTGCGACAAAAAAGCAAACAAAATGCTGCAAAGCAAAAGAGAAATAAAACCTGTGTGAGCTGACATTAACTGTGTCCCTCTCATACAAGTTCCCTGATAAGAAGTTGACCAACTTTATAAAACTAAAAAGGCTGGGTTCATCCTGAAATTACCTCACTCAGCTTCTGATCATGCTTTGGAAAAAAACCCTCACGTAAAAGGGTTTTAGTGGTGCCTAGATGTGCAGGATCTGAGTTCATGTTCACAAGCATAATGAAATACGTCAACAATGCTGATTGACACAAGTTTATTTTTAACTGAAGTGACAATGGCCAAAATACAGTACACTCAGTGGGTATACATGAGGCTGTGAATTTAACGTAGCAATGTAAAATCATGCAAATGATATCAAATTGAAGCATGAGGCATTGGAGTTCCCTTTGTGTACAGAAAACTAGTTCTTAGTCCTTTTCTTCTTTAGCAAAAAATGTTCTGACTCCAGTTCACTGATATAAATTTATTAAAGGTTAAAAAAAAGTGTAGATTTAATTTTTTTGACTGTTGGTTGATGCTACATGACATCTCATATTAAAAACAAACAAACAACAAAAAAAACTGCTGTTAATGGAACCTGAACTTGTATCAGTCAACAGAAACTGTTGTTCGATATACACACAAACAAAAGCTGCAATATTATTATGTGACATTCATTCACGTCTGCATGAATGTCAGATGTCTTTCAGTGTGTCTTGTCCCTCAGGGTTCTCCAGCCAATGAGGAGGCCAGCTGGCTTTGACACTGGGTCTATCCTTCAGCAGATTGTAATACTCTCCCAGTTTAGGATAACGCTTTGCAGACAGCCTACAGATCAGAGCAGAAGGTAGAATATAGAATATAAAGTTCAGTGACTACAGATCATCACTTATTATACTGATGAAACATGAAGGAGAAGCAGCTGTCATTTCTATTTCCTTCTCTGCCACTCTTACCCAAATCTGAAAAGATAAGCAACTGTAGGAAAAATGACCACATCTGCCAGTGTGAAGGACGGTCCTGCCACATGAGAGCCTGAGCCCAGCTTGGATAAAAGAAATGCAAATTACAGCACAGTTTGAATAAACCAAAGCAGGCGATGTCAGCTTGTGTTTCTGTGTGTGTGTGTGTTTGTGTGTGTGTGCGTGTGTTTGTGTGTGTGTGCCTTCACATACCTTCTGCAGGTAACCCTCCCAGAGTTTGAGTTCAGTGGTCAGAGCCTCTTTGTTTCTATTCAGAGCCGATTCATGTCTCTCACCTTCAGGAACAAACCAGTCGTAGTAGATAACCGCATCTGAAAATAAACAAAACTCAATCACATGATGCTAAAAACATTTTTTACTGTAAAGGCATCGCAGCACTATTTTTATCAAGCACTATTTTTGGTAAAAGACTACCCACTCTCCAAGAGCCCACACTGTGATTTTGAGTTCACTGTTCTTTACAATATTGATGTTGATTTTATTGGGCAGCTGTAGCTGAGGAGATAGAGCAAGTCATCTACCAACTGGAAGGTCACTGAATTTTATCCCCTGACTACTCCAGACTCCAGTTTTCTCGAGCAAAATCCTGATGATGACCACCTGATGCATCTGTATGTGCGCACAAAAGCATTTAGGTACAGGAAAAAAGTGCTTTTGTGTGACTGGGTGATGAATGAGGCTTGTAGTAAAAAGCACTCTCTGTGCTTTGTTAGTGTTATATAAGCAACACTCCATTTACTATTGTACCATTTCTTTTATCAACTCAGAGTCATTGCCAAGATAAAGTCCGGACTTCCTCAAAAGGGCCTGGAAAACCCTTTTATCACTTCCCACCTGGATGACTTTCTACTTTGGTACAGAATAACTATCTCTGTGCCACCTGCTGTAAGTCAAGAATACAGCAGTTCATCTTTTCACTGGTATTGGAAATCATGAACACGTCCCTTCATTGGTTCCCTGTCCATTTTGGAATTGACGTTAAGATTTTATTGCTAATGTTTAAGATTTTTAAGTGGACTGCGACCTTTGTATCTGTCTGAGCTGCAATCATAAAACACATTCATAAACCTGTAAGAGCTAGGATATAAATGGCTTTCAAATACATACAAAATCCACTGCTCATAAACTGTCTAAAATGTTTTGTTTTGGGTCTGGACTTATTTCAGTTACTTATCTCCATCATCATCTAACGTGATGGAACACCAGTCTAGAAAGTTTGGCAGGCTCTGAAGGGAAGAGACTGCTTCCTCAAAGTTCACCCATATCTCCTCAAGCTGCTACTGCTAAGTCAACTGTAAAACTGTGTAGGCAAAGTTTTCGTCTTACTGAGTTTCTCGTAGAATGTGAGACCCTCAAACATGCGTTGGTACATCAGAGCTTGTTCTTCTTGGCTGTCCGGGATCAGTTTGTTTCCTTGGGACTTAAACTGGCTCTGCCATTGAGGAAAGAAAAAAACGCGCACACATATGAGCTTGTTACTGTTTGTGATGTTGAATTTAGTTTTAGGGTCAGTATAATTCTTAATGAATTAGAATCCTCACCTCCAGGTAAAAACAGACTGCATAGGAGTCGTTCACAATAGTGTTTCCATGTTTGAATGTTGGAAGCTGTGGAAAAAAAATTAGAACGTGAGCAAGACAAACTATCAAAGCTGCCATTTGAATCACTTGGATACCCGAAGTTTGCTATGTTAATTGCACTGAGAGCCGCCAGTAGCAGATTGCTATGATTACATGTTGTAGTGCATCACAAAGTGCAACATATAACATATTGTAGTTTGTTTTTGCCTAAGTTAGCTGCTAAAGCTGTAGCAGGCGTGTCACCCCTCCAATCTGCAGAACAGGTCAATATACAGTACTGTCATGCTAATAACGTCTTGCTAACCTTTAGCTTCACAAAGTATTTGACCCTGTTGTAAAAAACAAAAATCCTCGTGACTTTGACAGCTTTAACTACACTCCAGGTTCTTGGTGCTAACCCGCGTGTGCTGAGCAACTTTTAATCCGTTATGCCCAAGGAGAAATCAGGTGAACAGGCCAGTATGTTAAGATCTACATTGGATAAGATTTTGTAATATACCAACAATCAGTGTTGACAGAAGGGCACTGAACTGAAACAGCTGCTCTTGGGACACAGCCCACCATTGGCCAAAGGTCAACTTTCACAGCTGCCTTTCTAAAACTTAAAAAAAACTAAGATGGGCGGGCTGAATAATGTTGTGTAACCAGCTTTACTTAGCTAGTAGAGCAACAATACATATATCATGTTGATGAGGATGAGGTTGTTGAGGTTATTATGTAAAGTGTTTTTAAGCATTAGACTTAATGATAATATTGTATGGTACATTAGCTAAGGTGTAATTTTCTTAAGGCCCTACCTGTCCCCTGGGATTTATATCTAACACTTCTTGGGACTTGTGCTCCATTTTATCGAAGGACAGCAGTTTTTGGTTGTAGCCCTGCAGGTTCTTCTCCTCCAGAGCGATCATCACCCTCCAACAGGGAGGCGATCCGGCCCCCCACAGCAGAGTCATTGCCTTAGCCATGGTTTCAGAGGGAATTCTTACAACTGAGAGTGAAGTTGTGGAGGGATGATGAAATGAAGACAGCAGCTAGAGGAGCACAGACAGATTTATAGCAAGCTACAGCCCTTCCCATTTTATTGTTACGTAAAAAGATCGGTGCCTTAACACAAGACAGATCAAACACGAGCAGCCCCCTTAGTAACAGCACTGCTGATTAACTATTAACTACATCTGTGTGGATTATGAGTCGCCATGGAGACATTGTGGCTCCCTCTTTACAACGTTGCTTCAGTTCATTGTGGTTTTCAAGCATTCATTCATGGACAGCTTTGTTTTAAAAGGCCTGCGACAGCATTTCAAGGTTGAATCCAAGTTTCTGACTGGGACTCTGCAACACATTAAGTTTTTTCTTTTTCTGTTATAGATTTGCTGTCTTGTCATCTTGTTGCTTGAACCAGATTCAGCCAGGCTTTAGCTGTTGGACAGATGGATTCATTTCACCCTAGAGGACTTTGGGATCCAGAGGAGTTCATGGTTGACTCAACATTTAACATGCTAGCTGAGGTCCTGTGGGTACAAAACAAATCCTCCTCAACCGAGCTGTACAGCTGGTGTGAGGTATTTGTGCTAATATGCTGCATTTGGATTTTGCTACATGTGGCGTTGTGCATTACATCGACTGTACAATTTGGTCTTGTCTGTTTAAAGGACACTGTTCCCGAAGTCTTGTGTTTTGTTGCAGTCTCTCTGAGCATTTCCAGTCTGACCTAGGGATGAAATTACTGGGATGTCCACTGCTAAGAAGATTGTGGCGTTGTGTTAACACAGTGTGTGACCAGCACACTGCCAAAACCTTCCTTTTTATAGTGGTGCTCAAAAATATAATTAAACATTTAATTACCAACACTTGGCTGTGACTTATCCTCTCAGTTTCTATGGAAGCAGAAAGTTTGAACTTAGTTTTTCATAGGACTGCATAGAAGACTTTTTTTTCACATGACTATATAAACGGTATTTTTTTAAAGTGACAAAACCTGTAAAATATAACACAAAAGTTTAGTGAGTGTTTCACTGTGCACATTGGTGGCTAATTTCAGGTTTATAGAGCCCTCGAGTTGTTTTATTTGCAGTTCCTGATACCTCTCAAAATAGTCCTTGATCATGGTTTACATTTTAACAACCTGCTGTTTTCACGTTGCACATCCACTGGTGATATCGCTGGATGATTACAACTGATAAAGGTTATACGGGGGGGCAGATAACATTCACAACTCACGTGATCATCTCTTAATATCTGTTGAAAACTCACGATGACTTAGCATGTCATGTACATGGAAACTGTCCAATGCATGTCTCTGATGCCACCTATGTAAAAGCAACCCCAGTTTCTCTGTGATGCTTCCTCACAAAACTCAGAGTAAATGTCCACCTGAGCAGTTCCAGAATCAGTGTGGCAGTGGAAAAAAACGCAATCACTCTCCACTACTCTAGGTCTGTTGTGGCTTCCAGATGATAATCTACCACAACAAAAGCACGTGGTTATCCTCCAACACACTCCTGCAAAGTATTATTTTCATGTTTTTAATGGGTTTGACATTATAATTAAAATTTTCTCCATAATAAGAACTTTTGCACAAGTCTTCTTTAGCACGTCATGTTTATTTATTTATTTTTTATTGGATCAAAATGCAAGATTGCGTAACACTGAACTACGTGATTTATGCAAAGTCATGACAACACATGCTTTCCTGTACTATTGTATGACTGAGGGGATGAGCCTGGATAGCTACTATACGACTAACTTTTGTTAAAATGCAAAATCATGCAAATGGTGCACTACTGAACTATCAGCCTAAAGAAATGGTAGCACAATGGATTTGATCAACTGTTGAACAGGAAAAGCCAGTTCTAGTCACGTAGCAGAATTCCTTTACTGTGGTGTGACTGGGAGGATGAAACTGGATAACTACATGGGTTACTATTGAAGTAACCTGAACATGGTTAGATCACAGATTGTCTATTAGGGTAACAAAAGCTGCTGTGATATTACATTAAGTGTGAGGAACTCCCAGCATGAATGTGTGACTGTCTTCATTGCTTCTGCTTGAATTTGTGCAAGTCTAGCATACAGTGTTTCCCGTAAGGGTGAGACCTTCCGTCATGCATCGGTACATTAGTGCTTGTTTCTCAGAACTGAAAATATTCAACATTTTCCATGTTTTAATTCTTGCTGTTTACATCGAGGTGTAAACATGCTGCACGTGGGTGAATGCAGGGAGCTAATAGAAAGAAACTGACAGAAGAAGTCAGGCTGTCCGGCTCAACATTGTGTTCCATAAGCATCTTAAGACTTTTGTTCATTTCAGAAAAACAGAGAAAGCTTTGCACTACACAAAGAGTACTGACAGTAAGAGTGCAATGCCTGAGAACGGATCAGTCAGCAGTTTCCTATATCTGTGATGCCCGAGATGTGAAAAGAGAAGCAGACACACCAAAACGGCTTCAAATATGCGCTACAGTTTTTTATAGAAGTTCATAGATTCACAATAAATCGACAGCTGTTAATGAAAAAAATCATTTAAATTATTTAAGGTGATAATTTATTTTGCCACTCTTTCCTACTTCCAATATTACAGTACATTTTAAAACTAGAAACAAGCTTCAGTCTATTCTCTGAAAGCAGCAACAATAAAGCCAGGAGGTGTAAAAAGAAGCAGTGATTTCTGGAAGTGATCCTGGGCCCACGCAATGATTTCCATGACAGAATCATGCCAGTTTTTAATGCATTGCCGCTTGAGGCAAAACATCCTATAATGATTTTTGGTCTGGGTGCTCGCACACAGAGCTTTCTCCAGATTCACTGAACCTTTTGATGACATAATGTGCTGTTTTTTAGGCTTTTTGTTCTCTCCTTCTTTTTAAGATACATGGTAACTTGTATGGAAGCACAAGAGTTACATTGTTTTAAATGTGAAAATCCTAATAAAAAAGAAATAACTCCACAAAACTAGTGAATGTTTTTGTTTCTTGGAAGGTTTTTTATTGACAGGATAGAAAAAGATGCAAAGTCATGACTTCTGCGGTGAAGTTAAACTGCTGTCAGAAAAAACGGAATACGTATGAGTTACCAAAAGCTGCAAGCAAAAAAACAAGAGCCGCTCTGTCATTATGCAGCATCATCTATGGATGAATATCAGATGTCTTTCAGTGTATCTAGCCTCTTGGGGTTCTCCAACCAATGAGGAGGCCAGCTGGCTTTGACACTGGGTCTCTCCTTCAGCAGATTGTAGTACTCTCCCAGTTTAGGATAACGCTCTGGAGACAACCTACGAATCAGAATTAAGAAGACTTTCAAGTCCCGTGTCTACAGATCATCTTTCATTTTACTGATGAGACCACATGGAAATGCAAACAGCCTCTGTGTGCTTACCCAAACCTGAAGAGTGTGCCAACTGTTGGAAAAATGACCACGTCTGCTAGCGTGAAAGACGGTCCTGCCAGGTAAGAGCCTGAGCCCAGCTTGGAAAAAGAAAATACAGTTGGAACAAATCAAAGCAGGCCGAGTCTGTCTGAGTTTGTGTGTTCATGCACATACCTTCTGCAGGTAACTCTCCCAGAGTTTGAGTTCACTGACCAGAGCTTCTTTGTTTCTCTTCAGAGCCGATTCATGTCTCTCACCTTCAGGGACAAACCAGTTGAAGGTGTAGTAGATAACAACGTCTAAAAAACAAAACATTAAAAGATGGCACATTCATCTGTTAGCAGGTTCACATGATGTGAGAATCTTTCCATTTTAAAACATAAGTTATCCAAAGAGGCATTATTTTGGAAGTTGATCCAAAGGTTTTCTGTGTAATAACTTAATTTTTTTCCTTGAAATTTCCTGAGAGACGAGGCTCAGAGGAATAATAACGCTTACTGAGTTTCTCGTAGAATGTGAGACCCTCAAACATGCGCTGGTACATCAGAGCTTGTTCTGCTGGGCCATCTGGGATCAGTTTGGTTCCCTGGGATTTAAACTGGCTCTGCAAGACATTAGGAAAAGACACACATTTAACTGGTGCACATTTTGTGATGTTGCATTCAGTGTGAGTGAATATTTTGTCAAAATGACGTTCTCACCTCCAGGTAAAAACAGGCTGCGTAAGATTCATTGATGACATTGTCTCCATGTTTGAAAGTGGGAAGCTGAAAAATAAATAAAGAAATGAATAACAATAATCATAATAATGTGCTGGATCAAACAGGAATCCTTAATAATAATTACAAGAACAAGTGAGATTACACACAACGTGTCACATATTCAGACACCAAACCTCACATTTCTGTGTTTTATTTAACGCTGTTCCCTAAACAAACTAAACCCAGTAACACATTTTTAAAAATGGGCCAGTCTGGCCATTCGATTAAACTTGTTCGTCAAGTTCAAACTGGTTCTTTGGCAGTACTGGAAATCATCATGGTACTTGTGGGCAGGGCGCTTCAACTCCAAGCTCTTATTCATTATTATATAACCAAGTGTGAGAAAAAGAAAGAAAAAGTTTGAAACCCAGCTGCAAACACAAGAGCTCAGTTATCTCTACACCCATATTCACTACGTGTCAGCTCACGATAAGTGCTCGTCCAATCAGGTGCTGCAAGGCGTCTCTTGGAGCGTCTTAAAAAATAAAAATAAAAAAAAGTCTACTTGAATAACGGAATCTTTTCCGCCAGAGCAACAACCCATATTTCAATGTTAATTAATGACCGTGATGTCGTCAAGGTTATTGTGCAATGTATTATGCAAAAGGATCAGATTCAAGGATATTCGTCAGTGTTGTGTTAGTAACAAGGGCTTGTTTGCAAAATAGCTCACCCTACCTGTCCCCTGGGATTTATATCTAACACTTCTTTGAACTTGTGCTCCAGTTTTTCTAAGGAGAACAATTTTTGGTTGTATCCTTGCAGGCTCTTCTCCTCCAGAGCGATCAGCACCCTCCAACAGGGAGGAGAGCCGCTTCCCCACAGCAGAGTCATGTCCTTGGCCATGGCTTTAACTTGAGATTCACGGCGTCACGCAAAACACAACAGCACATTTGAACTTCTCTTAAC